CCTCCTCCTCCTCCTCCTCCTCCTCCTCCTCCTCCTCCTCCTCCTAGCATTGATGATGTTCCCTAGTTGGGTAATGAAACGTCTGCAAGAAAACCACCCAGCCCAGAAAGTACCAAGGGCCTCCCCCCCCCCACAGATTAACCTGGAAAAAGAAGCAGCTGCTTTAAAGTGTTTCTGGGGTTATTTTTGAGCCTCTGCACGCTCCAACGCCCCATTTTGAAAGGGAAGCCAAGCATTGCATGATTTTGGTTACGAAGTTTAAGCAGCAAAACGTTCTTCTCCTGTTGTCCTCCAAGTCGTGTGGAAAAAAATCTGTGTTGCAAATACTCCCAGTTGCTTTCATTACGACGTAAACTAAAGCATACATCGCCTTTCGTAATTTACTAACTGTGTTGATTGCAGGGTGAAACGGGTGAGCAATCTCCGTTTCTCTCTTGAACCCAATCTTAACGTATCTCTTTTGGCAACTGAAATCACCGATTGGATCCAGATGAAATGATTTTCAGCCCAATCATGAAATAATTAAAAAAAAAAAAAAAAGAACAACCGTGAGGGGTTTTTTTTAAACAAATTTTATTCATTTTTCAAATTTTAACAACCAGGTAATTAGGAAGCAGCGTGGCGATGGGGTAATCAATAATCCAATAACAGAGTGATACATAGATATCTCAGTTTACATCAATAAAGGTTCCCTCTCTATTTCCCTTAGGTATTATATCACATTCATATTAGTACATTTCTAGCTAAAGTTCAATCAATCCATTACATTTATCAGTAACCTTTTAGTTATACATATCCAAGTCCTGTTTTTAGGTTTGATTTAATTCCAGTTATCCTATTCCCATTTAGCCTTTTATAACCGCTATTTATAATTTGGGATAAATTTAGTTTCTCTCGTTTCATTATATACTAATTCTCGTGACTAAAATACACATATTATTCCAAAATTTAAATTCTTTCTTTATTCATAGCCTTAATGGTTATAGGGAAATGGATTTGTGATAATGAAAGACACGTTATTAGTATATGAGGAGTTATTAGGATGAGAAATAGAATATATTGGAGAATTGTGAGTTTTAAATGCAACAAAGACTGAGCCGAACAAAACTCTTGACTTTGGTGTTGTTTTTTTTCTTCTTCTCCCCTTTATGAAATGACTCGATCCCATTCGATCATCGGGCCCTGTCTGAAAAAAAATGAGGCAATTCTGCTTTTCTTTCAACTTGCATCGTTATGTTCTAAAATAAACCGATTTGAGAACCAGTTTGTTTTCTATTCCGGGCCTTAAAGAGGTCTTGCAGATCTAGCAACCTTTTGAAGCGATCTACCGTATTAAAATAATAATAATAATAATCGGTTCCCTTTCTTTTGCTCGTGACCCTCTCGTCAGTTGAATGTTGCAACGAAAAAAAAGCATCTGATCTGGAAGTGCAAGCCAGAGGACTAATAAGCTAATGAGTTCTTCAGAGAATATAAAGTATAATTGAGATCCTTGGGGTGGCTTTTAAGGAATCTGATAAAAGCACTGTTCGTCTATTCTGTTGTGGGTTTTCTCCCCCACTCTTTACTTTCACTTGGGAGCATCCATACAGAGTCCACACACACACACACAGAGACACACACACACAGAACAAAAGTAAATTCTGTTTCAACATCAATTGTCTATCCTTGTTTAATGTGTTGCCTTCACCGTGCAGATCAATCAAAGCTTTGATTGGAACATGATTGGCTGCCATCTGGATTGTTGAAGCACCTTCGTTGGCTTTTTGTGGTGCCTCCTCCTCCTCCTTTCTCTCCTTCTCCTTCTGCTCTTTCTTCTTCTTCTTCTCCTTCTTCCTCTTCTCTCTCTCCTTCTCTTTCTCTTTCTCCTTCTTCTCCTTCTCCATCTCCTTCTCTTTCTCCTTCTTCTCCTTCTCCATCTCCTTCTCACTTTTTCTCTCTCTCCTTCTCCTTCTTCTCTTTTTCCTTCTGCTCTTTCTTCTTCTTCTCCTTCTTCCTCTTCTTCTCTCTCTCCTTCTCTTTCTCTTTCTCCTTCTTCTCCTTCTCCATCTCCTTCTTCTCTTTCTCCTTCCCCTTCTTCTCTTTCTCCTTCTCCTTCTGCTCTTTCTTCTTCTTCTCCTTCTTCCTCTTCTTCTCTCTCTCCTTCTCTTTCTCCTTCTCCTTCTCCATATCCTTCTCCTTTTTCTCTCCTTCTCGTTTTCCTTTTTCTTCTCCTCCTCCTGCTCCTCCTCCTTTCTTCTCTTCCTCCTCCTCCCTTCTCCTCTTCCTCCTTCTCCTCTCCTTCCCTTTCTCCTCCTCTGCCTCTTCCTTTCTTCCCTTCTCTTTTCTTTTCTTCTTTTTCTCTTTCTCTTCCCTCCTCCTCTCCTCTCCCTCCTTCTTTATTCTCTTCCTCCTCCTCCTTTCTTCTTTTCCTTTCTTCTCTCCTCCTCCTTACTTCTCTTCTCCTCTCTTCTTCTCCTTCCTTCCCTCCGTTCTTCCTTCCTTCCTTCCTCCTCCTCCTCTTGCTCCTTCTCCTTTCTTCTCTTCCTCTTCCTCCTTTCTTCTCCTTCTCCTCTCCTCCTCCTTTCTTCTCTTTCTCCTCCTTTCTTTTCTTCTCCTTCTGTTCTCTCTCCTCCCTCCCTCCTTCCTTCCTCCCTCCCTCCCTCCCTCCTCCTCCTCCTCTCTTCTACTTTCTTCTCTTCTCCTTTTCCTCCCCCCCTCCTCCTCCTCCTTCTCTTCATTCCACAAACTCCACTCCCTTCTAATGCTGATGATATTACCTAGTCAGGGGATGCAACGTCTGCAAGAAAACCACCCAGTTCAGCGACACCCCCCTCATTTCAACCCTGCACTACAAATATTCTCCTTTATTGGTACATCTCGCCTTGAATAATATGCAGTCGTTGGGTGCTAGTAGACAAGATAAGATAAGATAAGATAAGATAAGATAAGATAAGATAAGATAAGATATAAGATAAGATAAGATAAGATAAGATAAATAACCTTTATTGTCATTTTTATACTGTGGGCACAACGGCACACCATCAAAAATAAAATTTAGTTGCCCGCTCTCAAAGTGAAACACATACATGACACACACCTAAACATACTATGTACAACATATGTATAGACCCACAACCCTACATATACGCAGCAAATAAATATTAAATATTGTCCATCTTGAATATATAACGGAAGGAGGAAGCTTGACGATTGAAATACGATGCCCAAGATCACACTGAAGCTTACTCTTGCATGCCTGGCGTCATTCTCAATGCGATCCATGATTTGACAGCGTCAGGATAGATTCCCATGTAGAAAAACACAGAAGGGAAAAGGCTTCAAGAGCTGATTATTTATTACTTAATGAGAAGGCAGCGGTCCAAAACTCTAGAACAAACAAAACATTTTCTGAGTTCTTGTGACAGTGCCAAGAATGGGCTAAGGCTGAAGGGAAACCAATTGCTAATTAGGATTCGGCCTCGCTCTTTAGAACTAGCCATCCGACGATTTGTTTTATGGATTAAACTAAGTTGAACCGGTTAATTTAAAATCTGGGGGAAAGGATGATTGGGTTTTTTGTTTTTTGTTTTTTTAAAAATAGTTTAGACTGGATGTGTACTTGTTACATCACTGGAAAGGAAACCCTCCTACAAATATCCATATTTGGATATTTTTCTGGAACTTTGGCTTTTTTTTTTTCCTTTTTTTTTTGCAAGGGCCGAAAGTGAAAATTTGACACTTGGTCTTTCTGAGCAAGTTTTAAGGTTGTCTGAAAAAAAGAGCTCCGTGGTTTATTACTAAAAAGTCCTCACCTGGAATTTGTAAATGTATTTTCAGAGAAAGACAGTTGGATAAAACAGTTCCTCTTTCCTTATTCTTTTGCTTGCAAAATAACAACAGTAGCAATGCTTTACGGAGTCTGTGACTTTGTGCATCCGTAAAGGGATAATGTTGCACAATCCTACAGTGAAAATATCATAATGCTGCATTTTCTTTAGTTGGCAACTTAAGAGTTTGGTTACATGTGTTTACATGGGCAAAACAACCCAAAATGGGAAGTGGGTGTGACTTGTAACTTGTAAGTAACTTCAACTTTGTTCATTAATCAATACTGCCATCTTGTGAGAATTGCCTGCACTTCTATTCTTTTACAAAGAGATGATGCTCAGTGTTGGAAAACAACATCTTGTACCAAAGCAATTCTCCTCCTCCTCCTCCTCCTCCTCCTCCTCCTTCCTTCCTTCCTTCCTCCTTCCTTTCTTCTCCTTCTGTTCTCCTCCCTCCCTCCCTCCCTCCCTCCCTCCTTCCTTCCTTCCTTCCTTCCTTCCTTCCTTCCTTCCTTCCTTCCTCCCTCTCTCCCTCCCTCCTCCTCCTCTCTTCTACTTTCTTCTCTCCTCCTCCTCCTCCTCCTCCTCCTCCCACTTCTACTAAGACGACTACTAAATAATTATCTTTTCAGGATACGCAACTTATATTCTTTTTTTATTAAAAAGAATTAACCATCAAATCGTTTGGGAATTTGATAGACAACATAAATGCAGCCCCCCCCATTCCAGAAACCAAAACCCACCTAAAACTAATATAAACAGCCAGAAAAATCAAAGCCGATTTAAAAATAGTTCAAATTGCTAGATTGCTATAACAGCTATAATTAAACGCACTATTAAGCCATCGCTTCGGAATATTATCTGCCGAGAACAGAAGAGACAGAAAATAATTATACGTTATATATAACCGTTTTGTCATGGGTAGAATTTTAATATATTCTTTTCCTTTCTTTTTTAAGACCAGTATAAGAGAAGGTCTGCTGTTGAAACAAACCAGCTCTTTTCAGAGATGGAAAAGACGCTACTTCAAACTCCGGGGCCGAACCCTTTATTATGCCAAGAATTCCAAGGTAAAAATCTATTACTGAGTTATTAAAGAACATGCTTTGCCTGAAGTAATAATTGTATTTTTGAGGTTTAAAATATGTATATTACTGGAATAAGATAAAATATGATTGCTGTTGTATTTTTTTTCCTTTGTAAGCATTTTCTTTTACTTATAGTACAACTTTCTAAAGCATTTGGCTTTTGATTTTGCGAAGAAATTATTAGACAGCCTAGCGAGTGAATGCAGATCGGATTTACACTGTTAGCATTCATTTCAAACTGCTCTTGGGTTAAAACTGGCATGATCTAAAAGAGATCTAGAAAAGGGGCAGGCAAGATCACTGTTTTTTCAGGAAGATTTTGCTTTTTGCCAAGAATCAGGGCAACGCTCAGATGCCCAGGCAACTGGATCCAGAGACAATGAACATTGCATTAAATAAAGGGATTTTAAGCTTTGCTATTAGCTCAAGGTGTAGATGGACACGAGATGCTTAAAATCGACAAGAAGGAAACGGAATGAGTTCGAGAATTTATCTTCCTGGGATCCAAAATTGTTCACGACAGCCGTTCTACACCTGAAATCAAACGCAGGATAATCTTAGGCTGCTCTGCAAAGTTGGGGTATTTTAGAGCAGGCCTTTATTTATTTAATTTGATTTTAGAATAGATATTTATTGTGATTTTTATTATCGCCTGTTCACCGCCCTGAGTCCCGTAAGGGAGATAGGGCGGTATACAAATCTAAATAAACATAAACATAAACATAAACCTGAATAAGATTTGGAAAAGCACAGATATTGATTTAAATTAAAAAAAAGCAGGCTAGTTAGAGCAATGGTCTTCCCTATAATGATGTCTGGGTGTGAGAACTGGACGCTAAGAATAGCTGATCGAAGAAGAATTGAACGGTGGTGCTGGCGTAAATTATTGTGTCTCCCATGGGCGCCCAGAGCAAAGCAACAGGGGTGCTGAATTGTGTGAAACCAGACACATCCCTGGAAACCCAAATCACAAGACTACGTCTGATTTACTTGGGCCGTGTTGTGCATGCAAATTCATTGGAGAAGACAATGGGGCTAGGAATGGTTAGTGGAACAAGAAGAAGGGACAAGCCAAGAACAGGCTGGCTTGATAACACCAAAACTGATACAAACATGAACATCCAACAACTAAAAGAAGCAAAGTCCACGTTCTGGACAGAGAGGACTTCTGTGTTGAAAGAAGGGTCAAAGAGGCCATTATATTAAAACTGAACAGCCCTCTTTCAACGGAGGGGGTTTGGGATACGACACCACCCATCTCCTGTCTACAACCTAGTGCAGGGGTAGGCAACCTTGGCTCTTTTATGAGTTGTGGACTTCAACTCCCAGAATTCCTCAGCCAGGTACGCTGGCTGAGGAATTCTGGGAGTTGAAGTCCACAAGTCATAAAAGAGCCAAGGTGGCCTACCCCTGGACTAGTCCTTTCAGCAGATCCAAGAAGGCTCCACACCCATTTGCACCACTCAGGTGTCCCTGAGGGTGCAGATAAACCTCCAAATAGCCTCAACGACTCTCAGGAAGAGTACTAATGACCAGAGGACTTGCAAGGAATATAAATCTTTCCGTCTTCCACCCTTCAGTCAGAACTGAAGAAGCTTCTTGGATGGGAAGCGAAACGTCTCCAAGGAGGAACCAAGAAGGTCCAGCTGACTTTTGAAAAAGCACCTTTGGGACCACCGTGACCTGGATCGGCTGAGAGTCTCCAGAGACATTGAAGGCGTCACCTTGTCTAGGTGGCAGCGGACTCCAGCATGGAGATCCCAAGTCTGAGACTTTCACAGCAAGAAGAGCTTTGAAACTCGGTGAAAGTCCCTCATCTTCTCCTTGATTTGGGTTTTAAAAACAAGCCATGCTTGTTTGAGAATGAGCTCTAAACTTCTAGGCTTTCTTTCATATGAAGGAGAAATCAAAATACCTCACGAAACACCATGGGATAACAATGGTCCTCTGAATGGCCACTATAGACTTTAACCAAGTCCACTTTTAAGATAAGATCATTGGCTTTTGCGTGATTTGGCGATCAGACCTTAACCCAGGTAGTTCTCGCCTCATGACCACAATGGAGCCCAAAATTTATGTTGCTAAGAAAGACAGTTGTGAGGTGAATTTTGACCCATTTTACGATCTTTCTAGCCACCGTTGTGAAGGGAATCCCTTTAGCACAAGAGGTCTTCAAACTTGGCCGTTTATGACTTGTGGACTTCAACTTCCACAAGTCATAAAAGGGCCAAGTTTGAAGACTCTTGCTTGTGGACTTCAACTCCCAGAATTCCTCAACCAGGCACGCTGACTGAGGAATTCTGGGAGTTGAAGTCCGCAAGTCATAAAAGGGTCATAGTTCCTTCACGCTGGCAGAGGGATTCTGGGAGTTGAAGTCCGCAAGTCATAAAAGGGTCATAGTTCCCTCACGCTGGCTGAGGGATTCTGGGAGTTGAAGTCCACAAGTCATAAAAAGGGCAAGTTTGAAGACCCCTGCTTCAGCCGTTAAGTTAGGAACACTGTTGTTAAGTGAATCCGGCTTCCCTGTTGACTTTGCTTGTCAGAAGGTCGCAAAAGGGGATCACATGACCCCCTCCCCAGGACACTGCGACCGTCATAAATATGAGTCAGTCGCCGGACATCTGAATTTTGATTACGTGACCGTGGGGATGCTAGAACGGCCGAAAGTGTGAATAATGGTGATAAGGCCATTTTCCCCCCACTGCCGTTGTAACTTTGAACGGTCACTAAATGAATTCAAGTAAGTAGAGGACTAGCAGAATGTAGGATCTGGATGGTCGTCCTCTTAAACTCGTTCTTCCCGGTTCCTGCTAGAAAGGAATGTAAGAAAAAGAAGCAAGGAACCGTTTCTAATCCTCTAAATGTGAAATTATCTTTATGTCTTATGCTCTAGGCCAGGGGTAGGCAACCTTGGCCCCTTCATGACTGGTGGACTTCAACTCCCATAATTCCTGAGCCAGCCACGCTGAGGGGAAAGGGAGAGGTTTCCAAGCTGAGCCATGCTGGCTCAGAAATTCTGGGAGTTGAAGTCCACCAGTCATAAAAGAGCCAAGGTTGTCTATCCCTGCTCTAGAGAGATCCTGATAGTTTGATAGAAATAAATCCATTTGCACAGGAATTAGGGTTTATATTCATATTTCACGAAATATTTGAGGGATTTTTTTTTATCTCCCATAGATTTTAGTCAGGCTGGTTGTTCTGGGATATATGAAAATAATAATAATAATAATAATAATAATAATAATAATAATAATAATAATAATAATAATAATAATAATAATAATAATAATAGTAGTAGTAGTAGTAGTAGTAGTAGTAGTAGTAGTAGTAAAGTTGGAAGGGACCTTGAAGGTCATCTAGTCCAACCCCCTGCTCAGGCAGGAAACCCTATACCATTTCGGACAAATGGCT